ATTCGAAATCTCTTAACCGCAAATGAGCACGGAGCATTCATTTAAAATTCCAGCCTTCCAGTTTTTCTCACTACCGAGCTACCAATTTTCCCGCCAACACCTTCACATGTCCGTGTGGGAGACGTGGGGTGCATGACAGCTGGTATCACATTCCTGGGGTCGCACTTGACCAGGGAACACACTGGCAAAATTTCAGCATCAAAGCTTGTGTGACTGGCGGGTAGAAATACCCGGACAGATGAACACGCAGGGACGTTGCAATATGCGTTTTTTGCTGCCTGTTGCAGCGCTCTAGCGCTGTAGGGCGAAAATGCATAAAAAGTGACAGTAGGATGAAGAGTAACCCATTGAAAAGCCTTCAATTTTGATTTGAATGACGAGAAGGGGGTACGATTAGCTGTTACACAACGCCCACTGTTTGTTGGGGAAAGGAGCCCAGCACTGTAGCAACAGCAAACAGAAACACTCAAACGTATAAAACAAAGCTGGGCTTTTCCCGCGCATATATACAGAAATTCTGAGTTTGGCTTTTCAAGCGGAATTAGCCTTCGAAACGATAAATTTTTTAAAATGTGTAAACGTTGCCTGCATTTTTTTTTTAAACTAACAGCAATCACACAAATGCCATTCTGTTCGATTTTTTGATTTCACAGGTACTTCGGAAATCGGTAACGAATCATACACCCGTACACACACTGCAGACGCATACAACAGCCTTTCTTGAATGAGCAATTGTAATGATGCTGCGGCTTTTTCGTGTCGAATAGAAAAAAACGCATTAAAAAAATACTGGAGTTCTGAATGCTCTAAAAAAAAAAGACATCTAAAAAAAGACATTTAAAGCGAAAAAATTTCTTTTTGATATAAGTGAAAATTGGCTTACTTCTTGGACTCATCCCGCTGGCCGTGTATGTGCTCCAAACGATGGAACACGTTGATAACGTCGCGTGGCCGACGTGGTGCCTCCTCAATCTTGCTCGCCAACAAAAGACACGCCATTACCGTGTACTAAACAATATTTTTCATTATTACTGCAAAATGCAATTCACAAAACTGGAAACTTCGAGCTTATTAAGTCTCAAGCACAGTTATGTATGTATTCAGTCTGCACGGCTGTCCTTAGACGTTTCTGCGGCGCAGATTGTGGACACGCGTCAGCTTGCACGACGCTTTTACGCAAAATGCTTAGCTAGAGAAAAAGGCACAAAAAAGGGATAAACATACTCCAAAATCATGGCGTACGAACGATCTTTGATAGTAGAAACGTTGAAATAATATTTGAGCGGTTGCCGCCGCCACCTGAGGTATTCGGAGCAATATGGCACCGGACTGAATGAGTTCACAGCCGAGAAAGCGCAGATCCTTAAATGGCACTACGTTTATGCATGGAACTTGTGAGGGTCAACAGATGGAAGGAAAGCCACTCACTTCCTCGGTTTTCCTGTCCAAACCATCAGCCAGAGAAGGCGGGTTTTCCAGTTTCGCCACCGAAAACTCATCCAGTGTGAGTAACCAATTATCAGCCGATATGTTGACCGAGGAACATAGCCTAAACTTCATTAGCGGCAGTTGTGGTGCAACAATCAGGAATACGCAAACAATGAGCTGACACAACACTCATCACAGTCATGTCCCCCCCAACCCCCCCCCCCTTCCCCAATCTCCAGGGACGACATCACTGTGTCTGCTTAGAGAAACAGAAAGGGTAGAAGGGGCAATGGAGGCCCGACCAAGAAGTGACCATCCCAAACACAGGAATGTCAGCCGGGTGCACGCAAATCTGGCGTGAGCGCAGGG